GGCGGTGGTGGTGGTGGTAGCAGTAGTAGTCGTTGTGGTCGTAGTCGTCGTCGTAGTAGTAATACCATCACCGCCAGGATCATCACCACAACAACAGCAACAAAACCAGCAGCAGCAGGCAGAGGCAGAGGCAGGAGCAGAAGCGGAAGCAGACGTAGACGTAGTAGTAGCTGTAGTGCCAGCACCACCACCACCATCACCAGCAGCACCAACGGAAGCAGCACAGACAGCAGCAGCCGCAGCAGCAGCAGCCGCAGCAGCAGCCGCAGCAGCAGCAACAACAACAACCACCACCACCACCACCACCACAACAACAACAACAACACTGAGAAGGACAGCGCAACAAAATCAAGCAACAACAATCAGGTACGCAAAATGGGATTTCGGAAAACAAGGGACCCAAACCCCACAAAACCGTAGATAGAAGGATTCTCATTGCAAGAACAGAGCCACCGGCATGGCCCTCGCGTGTAAAGCCGCTGCAGCTCCAGATCGAAATGCTGCATCGGCACCCAAGAACTGCGCAGGGGCATTCCTCAAAGAGGAGCCCGTCATCGTTATCCTTACGTGTCTAAAATGTTAAGGCCCTCCGGTCATATGCAAGTTTCAACTTCAGTTGAGACCTCCCAAAAATGAAAATTCGAAAATGTTGTTGGAGACAAAAAGCCCTCCTAAACCCTAAACCCAAAAAATACTAACTCCAATTCAGCTCCCAACAAACCCGCACCCGAGTCTCTGCATACACGCTGCACCCAAAACCATAATAGGAATCCTTTCATAAACCCTTGTAGAAGCCTTCAACGAAGCTATGCCCTATCCATAACAGCTCAAGATTCTGATCGAAGATGTACCGCCCTGCCTGATAGTCATGACTGGAGCCATCGTCCAGGTACACCTTGCCGGACGCCCGGCCCTCTTCGTCCGCATAGCAAACCACCTTTCGGGCTAGGGGTTTGCGGGTTGAGTGTTAAGGACTATATCCCCAAATGCTAAACCTTAAACTTAAAGACTATATACGGCTGAGGGATTCGGGTTCAGAGTTGGGGGCTGGGGGTGAGGAAGTAAGGTTTAAGGCGAGGGACTACAGTTGAGGGATTTGGTTTCAGGGTTTGGCGCGAAACGACTAGGATTTCACGATGTCGACACCGACACCTTAAACCCAACACCCTAACCCTCAACCCTAAACCCCAAAACCCCAAACCCTGAACCGTATCCGAAGCCCCAAACCCAGCCCTGTAGTCCTAAGCCCGAAGCCCCACAACCCCGAACCCTAATCCCAGAGGTCGCAGCCCTAAAACACCCTGTTCAAACCGAAGTAACCCGACCAAAACCCTATAAAGAAACCCTTTCAACACCCCTTCAACACTCCACAAAAACCAAGAAAAACGAAAGGCCACAAACAGCGCCTCTAAAAACCTTAGAAAAGCCCAGCACCGTGTGAGGATCTTTGACCATGGCGGTGGCGCTGCGCCGAGGACGCATGCGCTGGAACAGGCAGCGGCCGGCCCGAACAAAGACGGGGAGATGATTCCTCAAAGTTTAGGGTTTTGGGTTTAGGGTTCAGGGTTTAGGGCTTAGGGCTTCGGGTTTGGGGTTTAGGGTTTAGGGTTTGGGGTTTGATCACGGCTTACTCTAAAGGCTCTGAAGGCTTGAGGGTCTAGGGTTCGGGGTTTAGGGTTTCCGGTCCATCACCTCTGCTGGGAGATGATTTTTTGGAGTTTACAGGGGTTCGAGAAGGGCTTTGTTGGGTTTTGAGGAGTTGTGTAGAGTTTTACGGATTCCGCCTTAAACCCTACCCTAAACCTTAAACCCTAAACCCTAAACCTTAAACCCTAAACCCTAAAGGGGTTTCGGCTTTAGTTTGAAGGGTTCAGGGTTAGGGGGTTTCGGGCCGGTTCTGTAAGAGCTCCAGAGGCGAACCCACACACTTCTATAAGGGTTTCTAGCCTGGCTCTACATGGGGTTCTATGAAGGTTCAGGCGGTTCAGGAGTCCTATCCTATCTAGGGTTTAGGGTTTAGGGTTTAGGATTTAGGGTTTAGGTTTGGGGTTTAGGGTTTAAGGTTCAGAATTCTATCTATCAGGGCTTACGGTTCTACAGGCCTTGTACCGGAGTAGTATCGACCATGGAGGCTCTACAGGGGGTTCAAATGATGAGCGGTTGGAAGGGGGGGCCACGGTTTAGGGTTTAGGGTTTAGGGTTTGGGGGGGGGGGGACGGGATTCTACAAAGGTTTCGGGTTGATTGCCTGAGGTTCTGTCCATCTGCAAGGATGTTTAGAAGGGTTTAGGGTTCAGGGCGTTGCAAGGTTCTGCAAGAGTCCTACTGTTGATGATATAAACTCTGCATCACCTCAAGGACCCTAAACTATGGGAAATTCTGGCATATTCCTTGTTATGGGTAATGCAGGATTTATAGATTTATAACATCAACCGTATAAAGGTTGAGGGTTCGGGGTTTACGATAAGGTAAGCCCGCGACATGGGTTCGAGAAGCTTTCCCTTGCTTCGTGCTGAGTTGACAAGCACCAAGAAGTCTACACTTTCAGTTCTATAAGGGATCATCTCATCCCAAAAAAAGTTTAAAGTGTAGTAATTCAGCTACTAAGTCTAGGGTTCAAGGAAGAGTTCATTTCAGGATGCAGGGTTTCAGATTCAGCAGGGGCTTTGCAGGACAGGCGGGAGATCCCCGGCCCTCCTGAACTGAGGTATATACCTCAAGTCATAAGGGGATTAGGGTTTAGGGTTCAGGGCTTAGGGTTCTAGGGTTTGGGGTTTTTTTAGGGTTTAGGGTTCTAGGGTTTAGGGCTTAGGGGCTATGATTGAAGCTACATTCCTTGGGCTCCCAACAGGTTTTGGAGTCTCCGGCGACAGCTGCGAAAGCCAAGCCGCACTTTCAAAACCCTAAACCCTGAACCCTAAACCCAACCTAGGGTTTAGGGTTTAGGGTCCTAAACCCTAAACCCTAAACCGTGGGGGAACCGAAAACCTTGATTGACTGCAGAGGTTCTTGTTCAAGGACACCTTGAAGGCCTGACCGGGCGCATGAATCCTGGGATGCCAGAAATCGAACCACCTCACCGTACCTGGCAGGGCGGTGGTTTTGAGGAGAATAAGGCTTAAGATTGTTTAAGGTTTAGGCTTTAGGGTTTAAGGTTTAGTGTTTAGGTTGTTTTTGTGGTTGGGATTTCTTTCTCTCAACCAAAGTCCGTTCTCCTATCTAGAGTGGCTTTGAGAGTTTAGGGTTACGGAGACTCGTCAAGACAAGGCCCCTTTGCCCTCGGCCTGCAGTGGGAACCCCGAAAGACGATACCCCTCCCGATCTGATTCAGCTCTTCTCCGAAAGACCTGCATACGTCCCTAGGGTCTAGCGAGGCCCGAGCCTTAAGCCCTATAAGCCTTAAGGCCCAAGACCCTAAACTCCTAAACCGGCTTGGGGTTTAGTTGGGGGACCCAAACACACGAACCCCGGGCTCCTGGCAGGTAAACCTTCACCGACTTCGCCCCCTCGGAAGGAGCCCGAATCAGCAGGGCATCCCCAACCAAGAAGTGCGTGTCGGCATGTTGGAAGGCTTCTGCATCCTCCCAAACGGGCTCAGGGCGTAGGGCCAGACCCTAAACCCCTAAACCCAATGGAATTAAGGGTTTAGGCTTCTGCATCCTCCAAACGGCTTCAAGGCATAGGGCCAAACCCTAAACCCTAAACCCAATGGGGTTTAGGGTTTAGGCTTCTGCATCCTCCAGGTCGTGGTACCAGATGGGTCGTACCATGGGCGCTCCAGCCAAAGCCCATTCGGCAGCCAGGGTGTACCTCTCGGGTTTAGGGTTTCAGGCTTAGGGCTTAGGGTTTTAGGGCTTAGGGGTATGTAAATCGAGACAAAGGTGCCAAGCCCTAAATCCCAAGACTCGTCACCCCAAGCCTGAAAGTCCAACGCCTTCTACCCTTTAACCCTTAACCGTATACCCGATATACCCTGAACCATACACCCTGCACCTAAACCCTAAACCCTACACTCTAAACCAGAAACCTTAAAGCCTAAACCCTAAACCAGAAACCCTAAACCCTGAACCCGAAACCCCAAACCCTGAACCAGAAACCCTAAATCCCAATCCCTAAACCAGAAACCCTGAACCCTAAACCCCTAAACCCGAAACCCCAAACCCTAAACCAGAAACCCTAAACCCCCGGGCCGCCCCAAAACCTCCAAAAAGCCCTGCCCTGAAAACCCCTTCGGCCCCTGCAGCCACGGGTACCACGTGGGAAGCATCCGGTACCGTGCTAGCACGGCTTTCCTCACCTTAGGGCCATGCTGGAGGAATGTGCGGTCTAGGGTTTAGGGTTTAGGGATTTGGGTTTAAAGCTGAGGGTTTAGGGTTTAGGGTTTAGGGGTTTAGGGTTTAGGGTTTGGGGTTTAGGGTTTAGGGTTTAGGGTGTCCTAACCTCTACTAGCCGAAACCTTGAAACCCTAAACTCGAATCCTTTTGGAAAACGCAAAAAAAATCCGAAACATGTCGTGACCCCTAGAGAAGTTTAAACCCCCACATCCTAAGTTGAAACCTAAGCCGGAAAAATAGACCCCAAACCCTAAGCAAAACCCTAAACTCCGAATTCCTAGAATGCCCTTATCACCTTTCCAGGAACCCTTAAGGGAGCCCCTTGGGGAACCCCTATATCAAAGGAAACTACAGGTGGGGAGTTTAGGGCATAGAGGGCTTCTATAAGGCTTCTATAACGTATATAAACCTTCTATAAGGCTCCTATAACGGTAACCACCCACCTGAAAAGGTCCTAGACTACAGATCCTAAACCCCAAACCCCTAAACCCCTAAACCCCTAAACCCCTAAACCCTAAACCCCTAAACCCCTAAACCTTCAGCCCTAAACCCATCCCTTTAAAGGAGCCAGGTCTAACAAACTCCGAGCCGCCTTTCCCAGGACGCTGCCGCCCAACAGCCAAGGTTCCCGCCGCTTCGTGGTCAGGTGAGCGTGGGCCCGGTAGAAGGGATACCAAATCTAAGGGTTGAGGGTTGAGGGTTTAGGGTTTAGGGCTTAGGGTTTAGGGTTGAGGGTTTAGGGTTGAGGGTTTAGGGTTTAGGGCTTAGGGTTGAGGGCTTAGGGCTTAGGGTTGAGGGTTGAGGGTTGAGGGTTTAGGGCTTAGGGTTTAGAGGGGCTCAGGGTTGCGGGTGAGGGCTGGGTTCCATAAGATTTCTACTAGTCGAGCAGGCTTCTAGAAGGAGCGGCCTTCCAGGGATACCAGACCTAGTGTGGGCTCAGGGTTTCTTTTGGGTCCTATAGGGAGGTTCTTATAGGGTTTCGGGTGTTAGGCGCTAGAGGTTCAGGTCTTCCAGACTTCATGGGAGATAAGATGACTCCAGTTAGCGCAAAGAAATCCCCCTCTACAAGGGTTCTACACGGCTTCCCCAGGTTGAGGTTCAAGGGCTCTCCCTGTAAGGATCAACACACAAACGGTACCCACATGATATGCACTGAGGTATTCCGGTTGTTCTGGGGTTCCGGGGGTGTTCCCTGCAATGCTTGTGATTTAGGGCTCATGGCTGAAGCGTGGGACTTGCGGCGGAGGATGTGGGCGTGTAGAGGCCCAGATCTCTGGGAAACCCTAGCATGAATGCACGCATAACCCCGAAAGGTCCTTAGAAGAAATCCGATTCGGGTTTGGGGTTTAGGGTTTAGGGTTTAGAGTTTAGAGTTTAAGGTTTAGGGTTTAGGGTTTAGGGATCCCTGGCGAAGGCCAAGGCGCACCAAGCTGGTGCCAGCGCACGAAGAGCTCGGGGTCGGGATCCCCCATGAAGCCAGCCACATCGGCACCCACCTGCGGGTCCGGTTCTGCGATCTAAGACGGCTTACTGTAGAGAGTTGGGGGTGTGGGGGGTGCAGTAGGATTTGGGAGTTTAGGGCCTTGGGCTAGGGGCTGAGAGTCTGGATGTACCTTAGTAACTAGGGGTGGAGCCTCAAACCGCGTACGCTGAATCCCTGTCAACTCTACACGCTTCATGTTCCAAATCCCGTGCACCCCAGAACCTTCCACAAATTCCGGTTCGCCATCTGCTTATAGACTGTCCCGAGCTTTAGCTGGTTCCCTGTTGGGGCCCTATTAAAAATGATCATCTTTAACCCTTACTAGGGTTTCTTATAACAAAAAATTGTATAAACTTGTATCCAACAAGGACCCAGTTAGCATGATGGCTGAAAGCACAAAATCACATCCTGCGCAACCCGGAGGCCGGAAAACTCCCCCATGTAAGTACATTCCAACCCCGCGGGTTTCGGATCCCAATGCCTAACCCCAACACTAGGGCTTAGGGTGTACCTAAAGGGATTTAGGGCTTAGGGCTTAGGGTTTGAAGGGGTTTTGGGGCCCTAAGCCCCTAAAACCCTAAACGCTAAGCCCTAATCGCAAACCCTGCCGGAATCCCCCCCCCCCGCTCCGGCCAGCGAGTAGCCACAAAGAGACAGGGACAGCAGCATGGGCACCGACTGTTCCAGGTGCCGCCAGTTTGCCATGTTGTCGCCTGCTCTCAGACGGAGGCTTCATGTCACTGGGGTTTAGGGCTTTTTCTTTTAAAGGGCTTAGGGTTTTAGGGCTGAGGGCTCAACATTTTAGGGGTTTAGGGCTTCGGGGTTTAGGGTTCAGGGTTTTGGGTTGCTGGCTGAGGTCGAGTCGGGTCGTTATCTTGTGTTCGCTGTTCTTGTTGGCGGCCTGTCCATGCTGGCCCATGTCGGTGGGAACCTGCGAAGAAAGACCTCGGCCGTTCGTATCTGTGTGGGTGTCGGGTTCAGAGTTCGGGGATTCTTGTCTGAAGGATCCCCAACTTAGAGTTTAAAGGACAACATTCATGGGGTCTTGTCCATTTTGAAGGCAGTAAAGTCGTTACAGCTGAAGCCTGGCGGCAAACCTGCAAGCAGGGTCACAGCTCTGATGAACTCCAACCCCAAACTCTAAAACCCTCAAGTTTAGGGCTTCGGGTAAACCCTAAAAACCCCTAAAAACCCTAAACCTCAACCCTAAACCCCAAAAAAACCCAAAAACCCTTAAAAAAATCCTAAAAACCCTAAAAAAAAACCTAAAAACCCTTAAAAAAAAACCTAAAAACCCTAAAAAAAACTAAAAAAAACCCTAAAGACCCTAAACCTCAGAACCCAAACCTTCCTGTTCGACAGCAGCGGCCGGGTCAGGACGAAGGGGCGCTGGCTCGGAGCCCTCTGCCTCGGCTCCCAGGAGTCTCCCATGCTCCGGTTTTTTTTAGGGAGGAGGGGGGGTTGGCTAATTACGGTGTCTTATATTCTATTATATGTTTTTAAAATGTATATTTTATTGTATTATATTGTATTA